CCGGTGTCTGGCTGGCATTTACAGCTTCTCCTCACGGGGTAGTACTAGACCTGAGCTGCCAGCCCTTGGGTACCCCCATTACTCGCTCAGTCCCATCCACACTGAGCTGTCTAGGTGGGAGCTGCCAACCCCAGGGTGCTTTTCCAAAAATCTGGGCTGGGGAATCAGCCGGGGCCCTGGCTTTTTTACCCCAGAGCCTTTCCGGGGGGTGAGTTAGCACACGGGAGTTACCTGTGTTTGTCCTGCCCAGCTCCATGGAGAGGGCCAGCACTTGAGAATAGCCTGGGGGCGGTGCAGGCTGGCTGGGGTCACTGCACAGAGCCCTGCTGCTGAGCTCTGGCTGATGCTGTTGCATCCCTGCTACAGTCCTAGGTCGAACTTGAGCAGCGCTGGGTCCCACCTGGACAGAAGAGCTAGCTCAGGTGTAAAGCGCCACTTGCCTCAAGCCAAGATGTTTGGGAGTCTAGTTCTAAGAAGCAGCTGGGCTCACGGTTCTTGGAGCAAACACACCTATTTGCATGGACAGGCTGGCAGCCCTAGCATCCTTGGTTCGGGCACAGTATTGTGGGTGTGAGTCCAGCTGGGAGACTAGTCAAAGCCTTCAGATCTGCCTGGATGTAGTGAGGTCCATGAATTTGTAACTAAAGATCCCTGATATTCAGAGGTGCTGAGCACATGGGGCTCTTGTAAGGCCAGGCATAGAATAGGGAGGGCTTCTCAGACAGTACTGGACAACTGATGTTGGTGGAATCTGTCATCACATAACCAGTGTTACGCTTGTAAGAAGCACACGGGATCTCTTCCAGGGGAAAAGGAAACACTCCGCCATTATTGAAAACAGCATGAAAAGCACCATCTGCATTTACACAGACACAGATGCCCTGCTAGCCACAGTCTCTCATAGTGGCCGGTCAGGATCAGGTCCATCTGGGGGACTCCAGTGTCTGCGCAGTGTTGTTGGCACAGGGTTGAGGTCTGGTAGCTCTGGTCTAGGAGCTGTGTGAGCTGAAGAACTTCCTTTTGGACCCAGTATATAAAGTGAAACTTGAGTCCTGCTTTGCAACCTTAGCCAGTTATTTTAATAACCAATTGTAACCTGCTGTAACAGAATTAGCGAACCAGTCATACCCTCCACCACCTTAGTAGATTTACACCTAGGAAAATTAATTATTCAGCAGACAGATGCTATTAAAAACCAGACAAAGATCACAATAGGGAAGTGAGGACCATAATCACAGAATGTGGATTTCACAACCCTGTTTAAGTGTATTGATAAGGAGTTACTTGCCAGGTGACATGCTGCCAAGTTTTCTTTTCCCTTCTTCAGATCTTTTTTTTTTTTTTTTTTTTTTTAAATCCAGTGATTGACAGGGTCTCCTTAACAGCCTGGTGAGACGCTACTGTACTGCATGGTAGATGGGACCTGAGTGTGTGACTGCAGCTGCTGCTCTTTCAATCTGGCTGCAGATTTGGCTACCAAAAAAACCTTATTCTGAAAACACTCCTCACTTGAGCCGGGTTTGAAGCCTGGCCGGCCGGCCGGCAGTGAAAACCTGAGCCTCTTGAGCGACAGCACCGAGGGGCTGGATTCACAAAGGATTTAGGTGCCTAACTGCCCTGTGGGGTTTCCAGTGTCCCACAATCAGGTCCCAGGAGCAACGTTTAGCCAATTGCCACTACATCCCGTAGGGCCTGAAATGTGCTCGGTGCCTCCGTTTTCACAGCAGCTGTTCTCTGGCACCTACGTTTCTGCCTCATGGCTGGGTGCTGTGTGGCACAGGACAGGGACATGATCCTCCAACCAAGGTTTCTGTGGGGCCCAGTGTGGCAGAGCATCCTCCACTGTCCCCTGGGCAAAAGGGGGAGGCTGGACCCTTGGCCCTGCCCCTTCCAGGAGCATGGAAAGTCAGCCCTCAGAGTGGCTTAGAGTGCAGCCCTGCCCTTTACATCAGCTCTGAGGCTGGATGCCAAGTGCCTGGGGAGTCCTGCCCCCGCTGTTCTATGCAGCGTTATTGCTGTTCCTACCAGGCTGCTGCTTCCCTGGAATCTGCACCTGGGGGCAGTTTGGGCGGGGGGAAATGAGCTTGTAGAGGCCCATCCTACCCCCAGCTGGGCGGGGAGCAGGAACTGGCGTTAAAATAGCCCCCTTGTGTGAATGCTCCTTGATCTTGGCCCTGCTGCCCCCTTCTGGGGAGTGTGGGAGGGTGCAAGGGCAAGGAGGAGAATCTCCAGGGGCTGTTACAGATGTGGGGGAGGCAGAAACCCCCAGCTCCTGCCTGACACCAGCTCCCTGGCTCCTGTGCTGCAGGTTCGAGATCCAAGGCGGAGGCGACTGCGTCTACCTGAATGACGAGAAGGGGGCCAGCAGCTCGCGGTGCAGCGGGGAGAAGCGCTGGGTCTGCAGCAAACCTGACGCATTTACAAAGGGAAAGGAAATGGCCATGGAAGGGAGCTTGTAACAGTGTCGTCAAACTTAGCCATAGGAAAGGCAGCCTGGGGCATCCTCTGACTCTCCTGTCCTGGCAGAACTGCTCTTTATGAAGAGAAAAGCTGGATGCACATTTCATCCCCCACTCCTGCCACGTGTTTTGTCTGCCAGTGAAACTGCTCCAGTCCACGTGTTCCACTCCTCTGAAGAAGTGGGTTGGGCCCATGCAAGTTCCATGTATTTTGTCTGCCAGTGAAACGGCTCCAGTCCAGGAGCTCTGCTTCTCTGAAGAAAGTGGAGTTTGCCCACAAAAGTTCATGAGACTTTTAAAAGCAGGTTGGCTGGACACCTGTCAGTAACGGTCTAGGTCAGAGCTACTCAACTTTGGAAGCCCTGGGGGCCACAATGATACTCACAGCACATACCCAGGGCTGCAACTTAAGTGTGGTTACATAGACATGCAAATAGATATAAAAATATCTGAAAAAAGCTTCTCTCACACTGACAGGCATGAATACAAAGATTAGGTCAAGACTATACAACACGCAGGTCCCATGTAAGTCAGTTCTGCTGATATTAATACATTGGCTGGAGTTGCGGCCTGTGGGATCCCGTGCCCGGGAGATTATGCCTGGGAGGGGTGGGGGGTGTAAAAGCAAGTAAGTACCCCCCACCCTGTCGTGCACAGACCATAGCCCCTAAGCCTTGCTCCTGCACTGCCACCCAGCAGAGCTCCACACAGCCCACCCTCCTGCCTGCCCCCCCGCCTCCGCCCCCATGATCAACTGAGGGACGTGCCACTCTTACCATGGGCACCGCATGGGTGGGGAGAGATGTTTGCTTTCTTCACCTCCCCCCCTGCTGGCCGGAGCTGGTGCTGCAGCCTCGTGGCCGTGCACCAATCGCAGGGCGGCAGGGGCAACGTGGGCTCCCCACTGCATAGGGGAAGGGGTTTGAGCTCCCGCCGCGGACCCTTGCTCTGAGGCAAGCGATCTGTTGGAGAGCTCAGGACCCACAAAGTTTAAGTAGGAGCTTTGCCACAATACACATGGACCGAAGGATGGTGGAGGAGACTTTGGTGTTGGAAGAACTTCAAATGTGATTTGTGGTTTTAATAATAATTTATTACAAAAGAGCAGTTAGGGTGGAAAAGCCACGAACTGGAATATCTAAAGGGGTTGATGCTTTAAAGCAGGGGTGGGGACCTATGGCCTCTTTTTCCTTCTCAATCAGGGGCCGTATTGGTAAGGGTCTGCGGTTTTTTGTTTTGTTTTTTGGGGGTCTTTTGCTTCTTACTTGTGGGCCCGAAAAAGGTTCCTTGCTCCTGCTTTAAGGTATTGGCTTCGGGTTAACCAGCGTGGGGAAACAAAGAGTTCTATTTATCACTGCTTAGCTAATCTAATTACAGAATAAACATCCAGTTCTGGAAGTGTATTTGCCCTGATTCTTCCATATGTCTTGAACTTGACACTTAGTTGATTCATACTGAATCATACAACAAACAATTTTCCTGCCAGATAATTTAATAAGATAAACATGCACCA